GCATTGGACATCTGAAAAGCCAGAATCTTCTTCACAAGCTGCAAAATTATAATATATCCGAATATGTTTTTGGTGTGATCCAGTCATTCCTGTCAAATCGTGAAATGAAAGGTGTCCTGAACAGCCATTTGTCTACATTCTTTCATACTAACATGGATGCCTGTAGGGCTCCATCCTTGGTCCTGCACTGTTTTTAATTTTCATAAATCTCCCTGATGACATCAGCTCTCAAATTGACATCTATGCTGACGACACTACCATTTAATCCTGCCTTGATAATAAGGCTGGTCAGTCAGACAAGGACAAAATGGCAGCTGGTATACAAAACAACCTCAAGACCACCATTAATTGGGGCAAAACCTGCCTCCAAACCTAAACTTCTCTCTATTAATCATCTGAGAGACCCCTCTCTGCCTTCCATCAACATGGATGATGCTATCCTCCAAGAAAGTGACTTATTTCACCTTCTCAGGCTAATATTCTCAGCTGATATGAGGTGGAAAGACTACATTAAATCCATCACTAGACCAGCTGCTAAGAAAGTCAGTTCACTGTGTCAGGCAAGATAATTTTTCTTCGGAATCTATTTTGCACATCTATAAGTTTACCATTCATCAATGCTTAGAATATTGCTGCCATATATGGTCCAGTGCCCCTGTTATTTTCCTGGATCAACTTTATAAGATCCAAATAAAAATTGGCAATATTATTGGTCCTGATCTGGTGGCTTGACTTCAGTCACTTGCCCACAATTGTAAGGTAGCCTTTCTGTACCTTTTTCATAAATACTTTCATTGTAACTATTCAGATGAGCTCTTCACTATGGTACCTAGACTGTATAAATTTAAGCGCAATACTAGACTGTTGGCAAGATCTCATCAGTTTACCTTTGAGCTAATTAGATGTAGCTGTAACTTCTATGCTAAGAGTTTCTTATCTTGCACTTCTTGCTTGTGGAACTCTCTCCCGGCTTCTTTCTTTCCAACAAACTTTGCTCTGCAAAAATTAAAATGCAATGTCAATTGCTATCTACTGTCCTCCTGATTTCTCTTTTCTTTTTCTCCTCATTACTAATGTTTCTGTTCTTAATTCCTTCACACCCTGTAACCCTTTGCATACTAGTGGCTGTACTGCATTGATTGGGGTGTACTGATTAAAAAAAGAGAAAAATATATATTGGAAATTACCAAATATGTGGTCATTAAAATGTGTTTTTGATTCATCATGGTCATCAAATATGTTGTGCAGTAATATATTGTATTAACCTCATTTAAAGTGAATGAAACTTATGACAATATAAATATATGAAAAGTTCAAACCAAAAACAAAAGTCTTTGTATAAAAACTTGTATGTATATTTTATATGCAAAATTTTTAATACAAGGTTTACTGAGTATAAAAAACAATATAAATTTTGTACTTATCTGTTTGGTTGTCACAAGCATGAAATTTTATGCCCTATTTCAATAACTTCACAGAGCAAAAAGAGAAAGATTGACTTTTTTACTTAATGATGTCTTGTAAGAGTTTTGCCATGTTTTTGCTCTCATGAATATTTATAATTAATTTTTATTGTTATTTTTGTTTGGTCAAGGGGAGATAACTTTTGTCTCTTGCTACAACCTACCTCAGATGATGCATAGTTTCTGGGCCCTTCAGACAAAATATTCATAAACAAGCTAAGATCTCAGTTTTAGGAAAGATATTTGTATGAAATAAACTCATAAGTTTAGAAAAGACATTCATAATAAAGAGAATTCTCATAGTTTTTAAAGGGTTCTCCTTTCTTCCTTTTCTTTCTTCCTTATCTGCAACAAAAGTAGCCGTAGCAGCAGCAGCAAACATTTTCATCCCAGGTGTTTGAATCAGTCATGTGTTTGAATCCTTTCTGGTCCCAGATCACAGCTCACAGCTTTTTCACCCAAGAGAATTCTATCCTTTCTGATCCCAGATCACAGCTTCTACATACTTGAAATGCTCAATTCCTGTTTTACCAGGTAACAACTTTCTCACTCATGAGGTTGAATGTTTTCTGTGTAGTCAAAATTTTCCCTCTTATATAGCAAAACCATATCTCCAACCAGATCAAAAACTAACTTGTTAGGAGGTATATACTTTTTATCACCATTGGTTAAAAAACTCAAGAAGCACTATCTCCAATCAATTTGCAATTTGTCTGTTTTTTTGATAACATCAAAGCCAAGCCCATCCTTTTAAAATTTTTGGCACAGAATGTAGGGTTCAGCGTACCTGGATTAAAAGGAGAATTTAATACGGGATACCCTGCCCACAAAATACAATGCAAATTTCAAGAAGAAACAATATGATAAGGAATGTTTGTAGAAAATAGAACATTGTATATTTATTATCTTGTGAATAGGGTAAAAAAGATTAATGCTTTAGTTAGTTTAAGCAAAATGTGATTTTGACAAAAATGTCTGTGTTCGCTGTCTTTTAACAGAATAGCAGAGTAATGTCTGTTTCTTTTGTTTTTGTATATGTGTAAAGGAAAAAGGGGCAATCAATTTAAGTTGAAAAAGAGAGTGTGGATGAGAAATAAAAGATAAGAGGAAAATGTACTTAGGAGTCAGTTGTAAATTTGTTGTTGTTGTTGTTCATTCCTACTCCAGTTTCGGCACTTAGTGTCAGGTTGAGTCAGTGATGGAATTTACTGTCAGTCTTCCGTGATCTCTGCACCCTTCTGCCTGGTGACTGACTTGAAACTCTCTATTTATTGTTGGCTTTTTTTTTCACACTGGCTCGTTATCTTTTTTTTGGCTTAGCAAATCACCTCCTTTCATTGGTCAGAAAATTAATTTCATACCTTATTGCGAAATCTGTTTTTAGTCATTTTGATCCGATTTTGCGGGTGTGCAAATCTACTTTGTGTTTTTTAGTCATTTGTCGGAATGATATAGGATTTGTATCCTATACAGAATGTTTAAAATGCCTGGCTTCATTTTGGTATTTTGTTTTATAAACTCAATTTGGAGCCTCTTTACACATCACTTTATTCATGTTTTTAAACCATCTGGCTTTATTGTGGCAGTTTCTTTTTCAAAGAAATTGTGTTAGCAACATTCTACTGTTCTTAATTATTTTATCATAAAATTTAAAATTATCTTTTTTATTAAAATAGTTTCAATATGAATTTTTACACAATTCTAACATATTATTTTTTTTATGTAATTTTAAGATTATCATTTTTATTAAAATAATTTTTATGCTTTAGTTACTAGTTTTGAACTCCTCTGCCTTCTATGCTCAAATTTACAGGTTCTATGTTTATCTTTAATGCTAATTTATTTCACATGACTATTGTCTTTGTTAAATAGTGGGTTAAAATGTGAACAATATCAACTTTTCCTCCCCCAAAATTGTCTAATCAATTCAAAAACTATTTCAGAAATGCATACAATGAAGAAATAACTTTACAAAGGTGTTATAGAATTTAATTTTTGCATGTGTGTGCTCACATATAAACAATTAAAGAAGAAGCAATAAAAACTTGGATTTATTCTCTTTTTTATTGTGGAAACTATAGGGAAACAAAGTTCTCAATGTCTCTTGGGTAAGTTCCTTTTCTTTTTCTAGTCCAGAAGGAAGGTAAGGTAAGATTAGTTATAATGGTCAAACTCAAGTCAGCCAAGTTGGACCAACCAAAGTAAAGATTTTATTTACTTTATCCATGGAGGTTCTGCAAAACACAGTAGTGGATCTGAGAAAGTTGTGTGAATATTTAAGATTGTGCTGCAAATAAAATATGCAATATCCACAAACTTAAATTATAAAAAATGGCCAAATGGTAACAATATTCAATCATGACAAAAAATACATGTTTGAAACAACAAATTAAATTTTATATACACAATTTACAATTTCTTTGTTTGTAATGATGTGTGCAAAAGTATATTTAAGAGAAAAAGTTCTTTGCTGTTATGGAAATGTTCAATGTTGAAAAAGTTGTTTGCCTTTGATTAAAAAGGTTGAATTTAATTTAGACAAAAGATTTTGTATGAAAGATTTTAAGTGAAAAAGTTTGTTGTGTATATTTTTCTAATCTCTCATAAAGAAAGTTTGTTTGCTTGGCGGCTATTTGACACATAATTCTCGTGTGTATCTTTCGCATGTGTGAGTCAAATGTGACAAAAATTTGTTTGCTATTTCTATTTATAATTTTTTTAACAGCCAAATCGGCTCAATGGGGCTTGGTAGCTGTTGTGAATTTTTCTGAGAAATGCCTGGGCAAATGTTGTATTTTTTAGCCAATAGGATTTCTTGAAACATTTAAATTAGGGATGAATTTGAGAAAGATTTTTTTACATCAGCTGAGCCTACTTTTGCACAAATTTTGACTGTTTTGTTATGAAAATTTCTCGAAGCTTATTTTATATTTAACAACCAATGAAATTCAAGAAAATGTTTGAAATTGAAATGAGGGTTACTAAAACACATTCGAATGCTATGCGTCGGTAAGTAGAAAAGAGACCAATTGTCCTTTTCAGAAGTCAGATCATAAAATTGTGCAGATGACCAAAACCCTTTTCAGTTCCTTTATTACTAGCATCATCGGAAAATTAATTATTTTATTTATTTAATTTTTCCATTTTTTTAATTTGTTTTTGGCTAAAAAATTAACTGAAATTTGGGGTTGTTAACTTGTTTGAATAACTTTATTTTAATCTGAAATGAAAATAAAATTATATTTGAATTAAAAACGTCTAAAACTCCAGAAAATGGGAAATACATTTATTAAAAAGCAAAATGTTTTTTAAAAAAAGTTTCCCTCCAATTTTTTGAAGAGAGCTAATCGAGGCAGGTAATCTCTTTAAACCACAACGGATTTTTTTTATTTACCCAACATGCACTGTACATAATGTTAGCATTTAGTATTATATAGCTACAGAAAGGCAGATAACCTGAACTCATATCAACGAATCAAACTTCCGCCTTACCAGTGTGCAAAAGAAACTTACACTTCTCTGTTGTGCCGGCGAGTTATGAAAATGGCGAAAGTTGTTGATGCTGACTACCACACCGCTGAAGATAACATAAACACTAATAACAGTGAAGAAGCAAGAAGTGGTCAAGATGAAGGTGAACTTAAAGTCAAGATTATATGCTTGGGTGATAGTGCTGTCGGAAAATCAAAGTAAGAAAATTTAATAATAATAATAATAAAAATATGATTGTGTGCCGCTTGTTCGGTTAGCTCGCCACCTCAAGAGAAAAAATAATGAGAAGATATTTTAAATTATTAAAAAAATTAATACATTTAAATTAAAATGAATATTTTGGTATTAGGGACTTCTTAAAATAATTTTTTAAGAAATTAAATACTTATTTATTTCTTCAGCGCTTTTATTTTCACCCTCTTCAGCGTATATACGTCTCCATGGTAACTGGATTCTTGTCATGTCGGCTGACGATATATCAAGACGTCTAACAAACTCACGCGGTTTTGACCACCTGTAGTTTAGTTTATTATTAATTTCGCTCTTTGTTTTCTTCTTAAGGATATTTTAAATCCTCTATTTAGAAAACTACAATTACAAGGTTTCTTATAGCTTTTGTTCAGTGATGACAATTTAAAAAATGATACCAAAGCAAATAAAAAGCTCCAAAATAACATTTTTTTTGTTTGGGTTTTAGTTTTTTTTAGTTTTTTACTCAAGTTTAATTCCGTGTTTTTTCTTCTTTTGTTTTTTATTAAATTAATGAATAATTATTACTTAAAGTTTCTTCTCTTTTGTTATTAGAAAATTAAAATTATATCAAACTGAAATAGTATTTTATTTTATGCTTGTAATTTAAGTACAAAGTCGTAAGGGAAAATAATTAAAAAAACAAAAAAAACAAACAAAGCCAACTTCTTGATGTCACCAAAATAAACAACAACAAAAAAACTAAGACAAAATAATTTTATATTTGAATTGCAAGCTTGAATTTTATTAAATAAAAAAAAACTTTAAAATGAAATAATTCATTCAAAAAAAAAAAAAAAAATTAAATGAAGAAAAGCACTTCATTTATTTGTACGATTTTTTTCTCATTACCTCGCTAAAAAAAAAAAAAAAAAACAGCATAAAATGCCCCAAACTTAATAAAAACAAAGTTTTATCATCAAAATGTTTGTTATTATTAAGATGAAAGAATAAAATATTTTTTAATTATTTTTAAAAATTTCTTCCTCCTTTCTAACACGTTCTAAATTTGGGTAAAAGATTTTTTTTTGTCAACTTCGTAAGACTTGTAAAATGGACATTTATGATCTTTTAATTTTGAAACTTTTTTTTTTAGTTTTATCCCAAATATAAAGTTATGTTTCTGTAAAATAGCTTTCTAACTAAATTATTGCCTTTCTTTTGAAAAACTAGTTAAGTACTACTAACTAAATTTTGAATTTTATAATTACTGGACTAATTTTTTTAACTAAGACTAAGAGTCAATTTAGTGCTAGGTTTTCAAATACAGTCCAAATTGATAATTCTGTCTCTGACCAAAGTGATTATAAAAGCCAATTAAAATAAAATACAAATTTTTGAATAAAAAATAAATATTTAAAAGTAGGAAAAATTTTCAAATTCAAACTTTTTACAGAAAAAGAATTTTCTTCTACTTGAACTTGTACTTGTTGGTAAAAGTGGCAAAATAAATTATTAATTTTTTTTTTTTATGTGTAAAAATATTTTATCAAAAGAATTTTTGTTTATTGTGAAAAATAGATTTATATTCAAATTTATGTAATTACTTTGTAGTTGTACTCTTAAAAATCTATACAAAATATTTAAAAAAAGATTTTGAAACTTTTTTTTTTTAATATTGATGCTATTCATTTGTGCTAAATTTCTGTTAGAACATTTTTTTAATTTTCCGTATGTCTTTCAAAAGATTTACTGATATTTTTTAATTTTTACGTGGTAAGTAGCATGTAAGTAGGAAAATTACTTTAAAATTTAAAAAATGAACTATTCTACGAATTCCAAATAGCCATTTTGTTACAAAAAACAAATATGTTTTTTGATACAGTTAATGTCAAAAATTAGAAAAAAAAAGTCTTTTAAACCAAGCATATCATTATTTGTATTATTTATATTTGAACTGTTGTTCTCATATTTGTTTTTTTTTTTTTTTTTTTTTTTTATCACATTTTAACTGTTGTGTCCTCCAGCCTTCCTCAGGTGTATATCAGTCTGGATAAACACTTTTTTTTTTTTTTTTTTTTTTTTTAAATCTGTATCAACCCAAGCAAGGCACTATAGCCACTAACATGTAAGGGCTTACAGGGTGTGGAGGAATTAAGAACAGAAACATTAGTAATAAGGAGAAAGAAAAGAGCAATCAGGAGCACAGTAGATAGCGATTGACATTGAATTTAAGTTTTTGCAGATCAAAGTTGGCTGGAAAGCATGTAGCTAGGAGGGAGTTCCACAAGTGAGAAGTGTAAGATAAGAAACTGTTAGTATAGAAGTTACGGTTACATCTAGCTAGCTCAACTGTAAACTGATGAGATCTTGCCAACAGTCTAGTATTGCGCTTAAATTTATACAGTCTAGGTACCATAGTGAAGAGCTCATCTGAATAGTTACAATGAAAGTATTTATGAAAAAGGTACAGAAAGGCTACCTTACAATGGTGGGCAAGTGACTGAAGTCAAGCCACCAGATCAGGACCAATAATATTGCCAATTTTTATTTGGATCTTATAAAGTTGATCCAGGAAAATAACAGGGGCACTGGACCATATATGGCAGCAATATTCTAAGCATTGATGAATGGTAAACTTATAGATGTGCAAAATAGATTCCGAAGAGAAAAATTATCTTGCCTGACACAGTGAACTGACTTTCTTAGCAGCTGGTCTAGTGATGGATTTAATGTAGTCTTTCCACCTCATATCAGCTGAGAATATTAGCCTGAGAAGGTGAAATAAGTCACTTTCTTGGAGGATAGCATCATCCATGTTGATGGAAGGCAGAGAGGGGGTCTCTCAGATGATTAATAGAGAGAAGTTTAGGTTTGGAGGCAGGTTTTGCCCCAATTAATGGTGGTCTTGAGGTTGTTTTGTATACCAGCTGCCATTTTGTCCTTGTCTGACTGACCAGCCTTATTATCAAGGCAGGATTAAATGGTAGTGTCGTCAGCATAGATGTCAATTTGAGAGCTGATGTCATCAGGGAGATTTATGAAAATTAAAAACAGTGCAGGACCAAGGAAGTAGCCCTGGCAGGACACCCATGTTAGTATGGACAGATGTAGGTGAGTGGCTGTTCAGGACACCTTTCATTTCCCAATTTGATAGGAATGGCTGGATTAGCTCAGAAACGTGCTCAGATATACTGTAAATTTTTTGTTTGTGGAGAATACCCAAATGCCAAGCCCTGTCAAAGGCTTTTGAGATGTCCAGTGTTACAGCCTGTGCTTCACTGTTTTATCTAGAGCATGATAGACTCTTTCCATAATTATTGTTAGTATATCAGCAGTTGATCTAGAAAAACAAAAGCCATACTGCTTATCTTAGGAAAGGCTCAGTGATGAGAGATGATGAACCAATTCAACATTGATTAGGGTCTCTAGGAGTTTCCCAAAAAGAGGCCAAATGCTAATAGGCCAATAGTTGGATGGTTCAGATGGTTCCAAAAACTGGAACAATAGATGATGACTTCTGGAAAGCAGGAAGTAGCAAGGCATTTATTATACAGTTTAGAGAGAACAGTAGCTACTTTGGGAGCACATTTCTTAATGACTATTACAGCAGGGATGACATCAGGTGCACATGCTTTGTGTGGATCAAAGAGATGAAACTATGGAAGGGGTTATATGCATATCAGTTCTAAGTGGGAAGTTAGACAGGGATACACCAGATGAGTCAAGAGTAGAATTTGAGGAGAATTTATAGGCAAAGCATTTGGCTTTATCAGCAGAGGATGATAACACTTCAAATCAATTGAAGAGGTGAGGAATAGAGATCTTGCACTTATTAAGTACCCTATTACGCAGATGCCAGTACTCATGAGAGCTAAAGTTTTTAGTGGCTATGTGTTGTCTCATTCTCTGTAGCAAATAGGCACCTGTTATGCTGGTATAGCTGGAAATAATGGTCCCTGTGAGCTTTGGCCAAGCATGCCGGTATGAACCATAGAGAGGATTGTGGTTTTGCGTATTTCTGAGTAGGGATAAAAGTGTCCATGCCAGCTTTAACCCAAGAAGAAATCTCAGTGGTGCATTTTTCAATTGGGAGGTTGAAGATGTCAAAGAAAATCCTGGAATGAGTCATAATCAGTGTGCTGGTAACAGAAAGAGATCTTATGGATAGGAGATTCCTGTTTAATTGATGCTTGGATGAAGATATCAATAGCTACCACAGTGTGGTCTGAGTTACCAAGAGGACAGTATTGTGAAGCTCGGCAAGAGTGAGGAGAGGAGGTAAGAAATAGGTCCAATAGAAGAGGCATGTTGCTCGGTTTGGCCCGGGAAACAAGTAGAGAAGTCCACAATTTGAGTGAGGGGTTGGAAAAATAGAAAAATTTAATGTCTATACCAGCAACAGTACCTTTTTAGAATGTTTCAGCCACATATCATGTTGAGCATTAAAGTCACCAAAGACAAAGATAATTGCAGATGGATGGAAAGAAAATGCCTTTTCTATACTGTCAGCTATTGCATTTAATATGCTATTGTCTTGGGAAGAGGGGGAGTGATAAAGGAAAAAGAGGTAGCTGACAGAATTTAGTAGTGACAGACAAAAACACATGAAAGAGTAGTCATCAGCCTCCAGAAATGATTCCTTGGACATTGGAAGATTGTCCCAGAGGTAAATACCAATGTGAATGCTGGAAACTTTTCAGAAAAGAGAAAGATGACCTAGGACCAAGAATTCATAGGGAATCTACAGGGAATTTCAAACTGAACCCTTTATTTAATCTACAAGGGTAGACTGTTCTCATTCCACTGCTCATGTATAGGGATTCTTATGTTATTTAACAGTGTTTAGTTGTTGCTTGTCTGTTTCCACTGAGTAGAAGTACACACTGCACAACTCAGGGATTGAACTTGCAACCACTATGTCACCAAATTTACAAACCAACATTTAGGACAAGTGAGGGCATAAAATTTAGATTTTGCTTTTGCATTTTTTCGTATATAGTGAAAG